ATCCAACTACCAAGTTTAAGTTGCACGAAAGATAAGATACAACTCTTCTGATACTTAGGTTAAAATTTTGTCCAATTAGTTACTGCTTTCAAATCCAAGTTAAAAGACTGTGATTAAGATTTAGAGTTTGTCTCAGCTTTTACTTGAATTTGAAAGGATTCTCTTAAATGTCAGGTGAAGGGCCCCCACCAGTAAGATGGCGAACTTCCGGCTTCTCTTCTGGGTCCTCGGTTCCCGCCGGTGCCACCTGAAGCCCAATCACCTCTCTCCCCCCTCCCACTCCCAGCACCTAGCCAATAGCCACCAGCCCCATAGAAGTGACACCTCAATCAGCTCATGCCCCTTCCTATATAACCCAGCACCTTTCCCTAATAAAGCGGAATTCTCCAGTGAATTGCTGCTGTGTGTTGCTCCTTTCCTTTCATCAGGTTCCTAGGAATTTGGAAAAGCCATGTTTGAGTAGGATTATCTCTTGGTTAAGATCTGAATATTTAATAAACTGCCAGCCTGTATTATTCCCATTTCCTCAGGCTGCTTTTAAAATGCCATAAATTATAGAATAAAGCATCTAAGGTTGCTGGCATTAGTTTACATTCATCTGATTTCTGAGCCTTGGGGTTCTCAAGCGAAGGCAGCCAGTTACTGGGGCATGTGACATGCCTAAGTCATCCCAACAGACTCTGAAATGATGCCCAGCAGTCTATGCCAGACACATACCAGAAGAAGAGTAGAATAGCAATATAAAAGAAAGACTGATTCCATGCTATTTAGAAAGAACAAGGGAAAATGAAATGTGTACAGAATTTTCCCACAGATACAATGAAGGCAAAAGAAAAGGAAAAGCTAATTTGGCTAATCAGATCACATGCCGATGTCTGAAAGGACTAGCTGAATTAACATATATGCCAATGGCATATTTTAAAAATCTTGTAAATAGGTAGCATTTATTCAATATGCTGTTAGGGTTTTGTATCCATTAGCTATTACATGAAAAACATAATTCTTCACAAGCATTTAGTGACACTAAATTTGCAACTCTCCCATTAGCAGCTACATATTTGTCTTTCAAACAAGCATGAAGTAAATATAAGCATTTGGTTGTGACAATTACAAAATGACTAATAATAAATAAAGTTCAAGTAAATTTGAAAACTAGATAAAATCAATTTTTTTTTCAGGAAATGAAAAATGCCATATTGACTCTTAGAAAGGAAGAAAATGAAAAGAACAGATATCAAAGAAGAAATTAAAAACAGTTCACAAGCCACTCCTAAATGGTTCCAGTGATTTTATGGGCAAATTCTACGAATCTTCAGGGAAAAAAATTAGTCCCTTTTAAAGATAGACAGATTAGATTTTAAAAACTTATAAAATATTACTAAGTCCATTTCAGCAGTAAAATAAAATAATCATCTTTTAGAGATAACAAGAGTTTACTTACTAAGGTGAGACTGATTCAACATTTAGAAATTCAATAATTAATTCACTTCATTAACTGTTTAAAGGAGGAAATTTATATGGTTATCTCAATAGGTATTTTTAAATATAGAATTCAACATTTAAAAAACTTCATGAAAGAAAATTTTCAAACAAAACACACATAAGTATAGAGAGGGTCGTAAAACAAACCCCACAGGTTAACGGCACAATTTCAACAATTATCAATATTTTGCTTATCTTTAATATTCATGTTTTAGTAACACTTTTAGCTCCCTCTCAGGCTCTCCTGTTTCACCATCACTCAGCAGAGCATGAATATTCATGATCATTCCCACCACTAAACAGTACAGTATCTAGTAATTGAGTGAAAACCATACCTATTAATTTAGGGTTTGGGGAAACTGAGAGATGATAAATTTTCTAGAGATAGTATATATTTTTAATACACTTGTTTATTCAGAGCTTGAAATAAGATGTCAAAATTACTAATCCACGTGTAAGATTTCCACGAAACCACAAAAAAATCCTAATGATATGCAGAGGAAAAGTTTAAATAGAACACTGAAAAAAGAAATGAATTTTAAGTTAGGAAAATAGTTAACAAATTTCAGTAGTCATACCAAAGGAACATGATCATCAAGCAATTTTCAATGTGGAAGAACAAACTGTAGAAACATGTTACAATCGTATGCAGTGCAGTACATTTTAATACAGTTTCAGCAACATACACTTCTCATTTTGTCTGACAAGAGACTTTAATGTTCAATAGAAGACAGTGTTGTATATGTGTAGTCTTCAGCAGCCATCGAAAAGGTATGTCTGTAATGGGAGCATGGATAACAAACTGTGGTACACCTTTACAACAGAATACTGCTCAGAAAAAAAAGGAATGAACAATTGATACATGCACAAATGACAAAATAACTATACTGAGTGAAGAAAGCCAGACAAAAACAGTGTATGTTGTATGACTGCATTTATATAAAATTATAAAAATGCAAATTAATATATAGTGGGAGAAAACAGATCATTCATTGTCTTGGGCAGGCAGGAGCAGGAGGGAAGGGCTGGGAGAGGAATTCCCAGGGGTGTGAAGAAACTGTTAGTGTTGATGATGTGGTTTTGATTGTGGTGGTGGTTTCAGAGGTGTACACATGCCCAAACGTATCAAATTATTCCCTTTAAACGTGCGTCTTACTGAATGTCTGTTAGACCTCAATAAAGCTGGTTTTCAAAAATGTGTAAGAACAGACTTTGATGGAATTTGCCTTTGATTTCTAAAGGCTGTGTTTAGTCATGAGCAACCTTGTGATGTTCTCTCAGAGTTTGCCCATTAAATCACTAAAATTCTTCCTCGTATTTACAAAGAAATAGGTATGAACAAGCAAAATGTGTTAGCTAATAAGATAGGCAAAATGTGTTAGCAAATAAGATAGGCTGGCACAACTTAGGCACCTAATAATATTGCTACTTCTTAATATTTACTGAACTTCCTGGTCATAAGAGCAAGCAGAGGAATCATGTTTATACCTTGGAAAGGTACAGAAAGTAAACAGACAAATGTGACTGTTTATCGGCAGTAACAGAAAACCTAAGAGAATCAACAGAAAGACTATTAGAATGAATAAGAGAATTCAACAGAGAGGCCAGATATACTCTGAAATAACCATTTAGAAACATGGATGGGTGGGGATTGGAGGGGGGATATTTACAACAGCAGCAAATATTGATCTATAAAATAGTCAAGAATAAATCTATCAAAAATATGTAAGACCTGTTTAAGGAAATCTAACTATACATAAGAGAAGGTTTGAATGAATAAATATTTCATGCACAGATTGGGAGACCCAGTGTTGCAAAGATGTTGAAATAGTGGTCTCCTGAAACCTGTTGATGCTAGCTACCATGTCACAATCCTTCCTTCTTTTGAGAAACCATTGGGATTTTTTTTTAATGAGGCAAAGTGCATAATATCTGTTAAACAATAATTGCCTTGAGCAGCTTTCCTCAAAGTGGCTTTGTATGTTAACTATGCCAGCTCTTCCTTGCTCCTCCGTGTCCTGACAGAAGTGAAACCAATACTTGCCCATGTCTCCACTGAAATGCCACAGATGTACCAAGAACATGATGCCCGGAGGAGGCTGAAGGCTCGTCCCCAGGAGCATTAAAGAAGTCTGTCTCCTAGAGGTGCCTGTAGAATGTGCTGTAAGTTAGGCAGATGTCTCTGCCTCCATCCTTTGACCAAGTGAAGCTGTACTGCTCAGGGGAGGCCGAGACAGTGGACCGCTGCTGTGAGTGTCATTTCTGCTGTGGATGAAGGGACAGTAAGACACTTCCACACGTCTCTCTTGCTGTCCTGGAACTTAAATCCTGGTGCATTTAAAAGAAAAGGGGTAATCCAGAGGGGTCGTCCCTGATTTGTCAGGTACTGAAATAGACCTCATTTCTCATAAACATTTCTATAAATTTACCCTGGTCCTAATAAAAAACCTAACATGGTATTTTTGGACCTTGACAAGCTGAGTCCAAAATTCAGGTGGAAGAAAAAACAGATAAGAATCACCAAACCCTTTTTTTTTAATTCATGAAGAGAACTTTATTTACCCAATATAAAAACATATAATACAACTTTCATAATTAAAACGAAGTCCAATAGCATATTAGAATAGGTAATAATGGGAAGAGATAGATCTAGTGTTATAGAAAAACAAATCCAGACTCTAATTCTGAAGCCTTATTTAAGGTTCTTTAGTGTGGCTTTGGTATTTTTTTGCTTGTACTCCACTAATTCAATGACAACATCCAAAGTAAAAATGGACTTAGCAATTTCTGGTTCCTTCTGCTGGTTTCATGCTTCTCTCCTTATAACATTCTTGTCAGAAAAATGAGGGTTGAAGGGCATGGACCTTTTTGCAGTGGCTCGATCTGAGGTAGCCAGGGTGTTCTCCCGACAAAGGTCAGGACAGGTCTGGGCAGGCCACCCAGAGCCCTGTCTCCTTCCTGGGAATAACTCTGTGGCAGGTGGAGTTCTAGGAGCTTTGCACGTTACCCGACTTGGGTAACTTCTTCAAGGTTTCCCAACTAGTACAGATCTGAATCTGTCAGCGGGGCCTCCGAACCGAGCAACTTCCAGGACTTCTGTCTGTCTTTCTGTTGTTTCCTCATACTGCTGTTAGCTACCTGACTGTTCTGGTGTGGCTTCCTCCCGCATCTGTGCTCTGGCCCCGGGGTGGTCGAGTTCAGCGGTCACCTTCAGCTGCCCCCGTTGGCTCAGCCCGCAGGGAACTCCGGTCTAGGAAATGCTCCCACTGCAAGCCTGCAGCCACGCCTGAAACATATGTGGCATCCGTGTGTGTGCCTGTCTCTGTGGGACAGGGATCCTCCATTTGTCCTTTTATTCCTGAAATTTTCACCATGCTCAGCAGATGCTAGACATTAAATGTTTTATAAGTTAGGATTGTAAGCACCAAATGTTATGAGAATTATCGGAGCTGATCTGGATATAGTCACACTGCCTCTTCCCAGCCTCCATGGTGGTAACTCTGTGCTCCTCCTTGCAGCCTATGGGACCGAAGCGTGCGGAGATGCGAAGGCAGCCGATGTCTGCAGCCTTGGACGCCCCGGACTCGGCGGGCGTGCGTGGGGCGCACAATGCCTGCTGCTTCTGCTGGTGTTGCTGCTGCAGCTGCTCCTGGTGAGGCGCAGGTCGGGCTCCCATCGAGGGTCCCAGTGAGGCGCAGGGTCGGGCTCCCGGTGAGGGTCCTGGTCAGAGTCCCTGTGAGGGTCCCGGTAAGGTGCTCGGCCGCCAGTGAGTGGCTCCCCTAAGCAGGGCCAGCCGTGGTTAAACCAAAAATGTTCCTAACTACTACGTGCCAAAGACAATTTGGGTTCTGTGATGAATGATGACGACGATGAACCAAGACAAGGTGGTATAGCTTCGGGAATTCTCTGGAATCAGGCCCATGTATATAAAGCAAGTAAAGAACAACCTAAGGTGGACGATGATCGAATAGTAAGTAACATTTGGGCAGAATCACTGCCTGACTGGTTGTAAGGAGTGACCTCAAAGCACCCTCGCTGGTAAAGTCTGCATGGAGGAGTTAGAATTAGGATGGATCTTAAGGTTAGGGTTTTGAAGCAGAGAAAGCCTGGATTTTATCTTCTGCTGCTTGTCTTTTAGTTTTGTTCTTTAATAAAGAAAAATGACAAAGTACATGCTTAACAGAGAAAAGTCTAAAGCTACAGGGTCACTTACTACTAGAGAAAGATACACAGTCATTGCTTTAAAAACAAGATGCATAGCTTGAGCATAAAACAACCTGACCATTTGAGTCACTATGAAAGGCCTGGAGAAATGTATGATTTGCATCTAGAAATCAGAGGAACATTAAGATACATTTCTGAAATCTTGAATATGGAAGGTGTTTCATGTCAAATGGATACATACTTTTAAGCAATTAAATGATTGACTGCAAGTTGGACCAAGACTTCACTGTTCAGTGGAGAAGAAGAAAAACTGATAGAGGAACTGATTAAGAACAGTGACCCAGGGCCATTAAAATTAGAATGAAAAGTGTGTGGGGAGGGGGATGGTTAGAGGTTGGAAGTGAAATGTCCTGGTAAGTTCTCTCTGCTCCTGCTTGATGTGGGCTAGTGTTAACTTCCAAGAAGTTGCAGTCTGGTGGATGGGACCCAGCAATATGACACACCAGGGACTCATCGAATTGTGATGCTAGGCAGTCTGTCCATTTAGGACAGAGCCCCAGACAGCAAGTGGGAATATGGGGAAAATGGGGGTGACAAGAGCTAAGAAATCTGGCCTTCAAGGCAAGACATCATCCCTATGCAAGAATATAGAGGACATGGTGGAAAACTGGAGGAGAGGCATATGTTGGCGCACCCTACTCACATGGGTGCCCAGGGCCCACCCTGGATAGGGGGGTCACCCACCAATAGTGAAGAGACTACATTTAAGCCTTTCACTCTGATGATCTTTCACTCTGCTTTTCAGTCTTGGTGAGATAATTAGATATGATTGCCAGAGACATATGCAAAGGCAACCCAGGGCACATGAGACTTCCAACCGGCATTGAGCCGGTCCCCCCAACCCCCTGCTGCCTTGGGGAAGGAACAGGAGGCTGAGATTGTGGCCAGAATGCCACATGGGCCTGGTGGTGGACGGGTCACTGGCTCCTCCTACTAGCACCAACCATGGTGAGTAAAATATAAATCTTTACTGAGATACCATCTTCATGGCCAGAACTTACATAGCACGAATTATGCAGGTATATAAAAGATAACAGAACAATGTCTTCAAACTACCAGAGAAAAGTCACTGAAAACTTAGTCGAGCTATAATGAAAGAGTGTGGGTAAATAAGATATTATCAGACATACAAAGGCAAGAAAGGTAACTTACCTTCAGACCTTCCCTAAAACAACTAAGAAGGAATGTACTTCGGAAAAAAGTGGACCCAGAGGGTAGTTGTCAGAAACAAGTGACAAGGACAGACACAAGTGTTGCATAGCTGTCAAGCATGGTATTTAATTTTGTGTTAAAGTGTGTAAATCCAAAACTGTAAACAGCTAATCTCATGTTAAAATGGCTGAATCAAATAACTTTGACTTTCTTAGAAAAAATGTATAAGAACATTTTTTTCAGAATTAATGGTATTTACGATTAGAAATACAACAAAGGGTTTTCATACCAATGGAGGACAAAAGAAATATAAAAAGCTTTATCAGCATATGACAAAAGTAGCAAAAGGGAGAATGAGCTATTCTATAAATACCAGATACTTGTCAACCATTGTGGAAAGCAATATGGAGATTCCTCAAAAAAGTAAAAATAGAAATACCATTTGACCCTGGAATCCCACTCCTTGGAATTTACCCAAAGAATACAACTTCTCAGATTCAAAAAGACACATGCACCCCTATGTTTATTGCAACACTTTTTACAATAGCCAAGATATGGAAGTAACCTAAGTGTCCATCAGTAGATGAATGGATAAAGAAGAAGTGGTACATATGCACAATGGAATACTATTCAGCCATAAGAAAGAAACAAATCCTACAGTTTGCAACAACATGGATGGAGCTGGAGGACATTAATCTCAGTGAAATAAGCCAAGCAGAGAAAGATAAGTGCCAAATGATTTCCCTCATTTGTGGAGTATAACAACAAAGCAAAACTGAAGAAACAAAATAGCAGCAGACTCAGAGACTCCAAGAAGGAACTAGTGGTTACCAAAGGGGAGGGGGATGGGAGGGCAGGTGGGGAGGGAGGGAGAAGGGGATTGAGGAGTATTATGTTTAGTACACATGGTGTGGGGGATCAGGGATCATGGGAAAAAACAGTGTAGCACAGAGAAGGCAAATAGTGAATCTGTGGCATCTTACTACACTGAGGGACAGTGACTGCATTGGGGTATGAGTGGGGACTTGATAATAAAGGTAAATGTAGTAACCACATTGTTTTTTCGTGTGAAACCTTCACATGTATATAATAATACCTTAATAAAAATTAAAAAAAAAACAAAGAACAAAACAGCATTAGACTCACAGACACTGAGAAGTGACTAGTGGTTACCAAGGGGGAGGGTAGTGGGAGGGAGGAGGAGAAGGGGGATTGTTGAACCACTGTGACGTACATTTTATAAAATAAAACTTACAAGAAAAAAAAAGATACTTGGTATTAGGGTCCAGCTCCTCCCAGTTGCCTGAAATTATCTTGGTTTCAGCATTAAAAAGCCCTGTATCCCAGAAAATCCAAGAGTCCCAGGCAAACCAGGAAGGGTGGTCCCCTACCTGGTAACCAAATCCATAAAAATAGACTTATATTCTATATTGTATTATATATAAAACTCAATTTCCACCACCCAAAATAAACCCAAGATTAATTCTAGTGGCTTAAAGGCCTACTAAATATGACTAGCAAAGAAGAAATACAGGATAATATATTTCTGATCTTGGTAGTGGGAAGAACCACTTTTAAAAAGAAAAAGCAAAATCTGTAAAAGGGAAAGATTCACAAAATGGGCTATTTTAAATATAAAAATGTGTTTGATAAGAGAACTAAAAACATACCACACAGAGATTTGTACATATCATTACAGCATGATTCATACGAACCAGAAAGTGGAGCCCAAATGGCCATGAACTAATGAACGGATAAACAAAATGTGGTATATCCATACAGTGGAACATTGGTCAGCCATAAAAGGAATTCAGTACTGAAACCACTAAAACATAGATGAACCTTGAAAACATTGTGCTAAGTGTAAGAAGCCAGACACAAAAGACCACATATTTTATGATGCCATTTATATGAAAAGTCTGGAATAGGTAAATTTATAGACAGAAAGTAGATTCCTTGTTGCCTAAGGCTGAGGAAATAGGGTGAATGCTAGTGTATGCCAAGTTGTTTTTTGGAGAAAGTGTTCTCAAATCATGGTAATGGCTGCACCAACTGTATAAATATACTAAGAAACCATTGATTTGTACCATTTAAATTGTGAGTTGTATGGTATGTGAATTATCTGTTAATAAAACTGCTTTTATAATGTCTAGCCAAAGATAGCAGAAATAAAATGACAGATAAAGCAAGCCAGGAGAAGGTAATTACAATGCATTTAGCAAATAATTCAAGTCTAGAACATATAAAGAACTTCAGGAGGCTGATGAGAAAATAATGACCAAGAGAAAAACAAGCAAAAGTTAATCAGCTTGTGCTCCCACTAACAAGGATCAGTTATGGAAGTTAAATATATGCCCTTCTAAATATAACCCCATGCCCTGGAGAAAAGTCCTGCACACAGGCAAAAGGAGATGTGCATGAGAGGATTCACGGCAGCCTTAATGTGACTAAGAAAAACTGAAAATGCCTTAAAGTTCACAGACAACAGCATGAATGATTCATCGTGTTAGGGTTACAAGGCATTGCCATATGACATTTAAATTCATGTGCTAGGCAAAAGAAAACCAAAGTGAAAAACAACCCATATTGTAAAATAATGTTTTTGCCAAGTTAAAAAATATGTGTATTTATGTTTGTATATTTATGCATAGGGAAAGAGAATAGCAGAACTCTGACTGGTAATGATAAACAACAAATTAAGGATGTTGGTTATCTCTGGGGCAGATAGAGGGGGAGATGGGATGGAACAAAGTACACAGCAAACTTCAAGGGTTTCAGTATTTAATTTCCTTGATTTTTTTTTCTTTTTGAGGTTTGTCCATGTTGATAATACATAGTATAGTCGATTTTTAAGAACGGTAAATGGCAATGTGTTTTCTAAGCCCTTGTATTATCCATCTCAAAATTCTGCTTCATGGCCTTCTGGCATTTTGTTTTCAGAGTCATTCAGATTCTTGACCTGTTGAAAGTGAACTCTTTTTTTTTTTCCTTTCTAGAAGATTGAAGAAAATTTTCTTCTTTATAACTCAAAACTTTACCAAACTATATTTAACCATAGATCTTCTTTCACTGAATAGTCCTTAAACATGGTGAGCAACTGTTCTGGCTTCTAGCAACATTTTCTCATTCTACTGTAACAATAACAGTAAGCTCAGGTTTAAGAAAATTGACAGAAAATATATACTTTTTGAAGAACACATTATCCCCCCTAAGAAATATTCCTACTTTTAAAAAATGAGACATGGAAAATGTCAAATCTTAAATAAATATTGCTCTATTTAGTTGACAAAATAACTTCCAGCTCTTTTAGGATCCTTTGTCAAATTCAATCCTTTCTGTTTCTTTTGCTTTTTCGTACCCACTGTGTAGTAATGTTTTCTGCTTACAAAAGAAGCCTAGGAAACCAGGCAGTACTGATGCTCTTGCAGAGAGAACACCACCCAGGTGCCTCTCAAGTTTTTTTTGTTTGTTTGTTTTAAGAAACCATTATTTACTGAAAGTTTTTAAACCTGACTTCATGAAAGCAGTAAGTCAGCAGAGTTCCTGCATTTCTAGCAACTTTGCATTCAAAGAAAAATAGAGTTACACACACATACACATAACTACTGAAAATTCATAAAGCAGAAGTGCTGAAAATAGGCTGAAAGACTTATAAAATGGTGTAAGAGTGTTGAGGAAAGATACAATAAAACAGAAAAGAGTACAGTAGCTATAGTAACATAAAGCAAACTCAATGATAAAAATCCATTTTGATATTAATGGGAAACCAAAGGCATTTCCGCTAAAATCAAGAACAAGACAAGGATGTCCACCAACTCCTCTACTGTTTAACATGGCATTTAGGTATCAGTCAATGCAATGAAACAAGAGAAAACAACTTGGGGCAAGTGGTAGAACTCCCCCTGTTTGCAGAAGATATAAGAGTATATCTGGAAACAGAATTGTTGCTAAACTGATGCAAACACAAAAGAACTCAATAAAAAGAAAGATGTAAAATAAATATAAAAATAGCCTTCAGAATGGGAAGAACTCTTATGATTCAAAAATAAAAGATAAACCAATTTAAAATGGGCAAAGGATCTGAGCAGACATGTCTCCAAAGAAGATGTACAAATAGCTAGTAAATACATGAAAAAATGCTCAGTGTCATTAGCAATTAGCAAAATGCAAATCAAAACCACAGTGAGATGCCACTGCATACCCACAAAAATGGCTAGAATAAAAAAGATCAACAGTAATAATTGTTGACAAGGATGTGAAGAAATTGGGTCTTTCAAACATTGCTGATGGAAATAGTGTGGCCACCTCAGAAAACAGTTTGAAACTTTATCAAAATGTTAAAAATGGACCTACCATATCACAGCATTTCCACTCCTATGTGTCTATCCAAGAGAAATAGACATCCACACAAAAACATGTATATCTTCACAGTCAAATTATTTGTAATAGCCAAAAAGTGCAAATAAACTGAATGTCCATCTACTTGAAAATGAATAACAAATCGTGATATACCTATTCAGTGGAGTATTATTAAGCTATAAAAAGACCAAGGTATTGATACATGCTGTAAAAATGGTGAACCTTAAAAATGTTATGCCAAGTGAAAGGAGCCAGTCACAAAAGATCACATATTGTATAAGTCAAAGTAAGGCATATAGAGAAGTGGATTAGTATATGTCTGGAGCAGAAAGAGGTGGGATACAGGGGAACAAGAAATGATTCCTAAACAGTTATGGGACTTCTTTTTGGGATGATGAAAACGTTCTGAAATTAGGTAGTCACGATGGTCGCACAACCTTGTGATTATGCTAAAAACCACTGAATTGTACCATTTGCACAGGTGACTTTATGATACATAAATGATGGTTCAACAAAGCTATTCAGTAAGTAATAGCCTTCAAACATACAAGTATAACCAGTTAGAAGATGAAAATTCCATTTATAGTAACAACAAAAATACTTGTAATAAGTTTACAAAGAATGTACAAAATATATATGAGAAAACAAACTCTTGAATGATACACTAGACTTGGATTATACACTCCCCTGGTTTTCTCTTAATACTTTTGCATGTGTATATAGATAAAACGTCCATTTTGACTTGAAACACAGTCTGGAGAATGTATACTACTTTCAAAGTACATGAAAGAAAATGAAAACCCCCAACATTCCTGAGAACCCAAATTTACTACTTTCTAATGGAAAGTTTTGATGAAAATTATTTTTCTAAACGTAAACTCTCCCTCAATTAGTGTAGACCACAGTATTATAAATGTAATTTGTTTTGCTAATACCGTGGTATCATACTCTTGGTTTTCTTCAGGAAACCAATCAGCGTGCATTTTTTCAAGAAAAGAAACACATTCTACTAGGCAAATCTGTAGTTCTTGTTAAAATATTTATAAAAAACCTTTCTTGATACAGGATGATCTCAACTGACGTGTCTTGTTTCATACAGTCTCACGATTAGAAGCCAAGAGGAACAGAGACACAGGATGGTGTCCAATGAACTCAGAAGAGATAACCTTCCAACCTGTGAAGAAAGGTGAACTCTCCTGTTGTGTAGCCCACTAAACTGACAGAAATGCCAACCTTGTTATTTATTTTTTTGCATTGTACATTTCAATAGAACACACTTCTCATGATGTGGCATCTCATCTTCACTATGCAGAATTTCTTTTCACTCACTGTGTGACAGGGAGAAAATTCATTTCCATTATTATTCTAAGCTCTGCTGATCACATATATAAATTGATGCTACTTGACAAAACATACTACTAATTGTATTTTTATAGGATATACTTTTTAAAATAAAAGGCCATAACCAAACAACACGGGGTTTTCAGGAACGTTTTAAAAGTCCATTTCTTTTTAACTATACATTTATACTTTAGCTAATGTATTTTTTTAAGTATTTTGAAAAAAAGCTGGGAAAGAACCACATTAATTATTTTCCATATTGTCAAATTTTAAAATTGTCTTTTCCTTCCTGTATTATCTGATTTACTTTCACTTACATATTCTTATGCCTTTCCTTGGTATTATGTCTACAGAATTGCAGACAATAGATATCCTAACAGCATTGTTCAAATAGGTTTTGTATTAAATTGCTTATTTTGGAAGGGAAAAAAAAACAAGTACTTAAATACTTTTTTTCATCCTTTATCTTACTCATCTTACCCAGCTTTTCCAAAATCTGGGTAGCATATTAAAATCTTCAACAGTTTATGAGTTTGTTAAAAACAGATTTTATCTTATATTCCAGTATATTGTACCTGAAGCTTTGAGGCTATTATATTTTGGAACCAGAATGCCCACATCTAGCCCTGGCTGCACCCATCCTGCCAGTGATCGTGAGCACTATTCCAAGTAGCCACATTCTGCCTCAGTTTCCTTATGTGCAAAATTGAGGGTAAAATAGTCTGTTGTAACTGTAAAGCCAAAGAAGGATTTCTGTAAGTATTGAATTGGACCAGAACACTGAGAATCGAGCCAGGCAAGAGACACACAGTCAAATGTATGTTGGCTACTATTTGTTCTCAATCATATCCAATAATATAAAATAACTCTTTATCCAGTTTAATGCCTTTTGCTTCCATTTCTAGTTAGATATTAACATTATTCTTATTTGCCTTTTCCTTATAGATCTTTGCTTATGTGTTTTTAATTTTTTGCATTTTTTTAATGTTTCCTGGAAATAGCATAGTATTAGAATTTGGCCTAGGTTGAGCCTGTGTCTCTAAATGGGTAGTGAGAATCCAATTATATTGGGTCTGTTATTTTGATGATTACCTACATTTAATATTCTAGCATATTCTTTGATTGCTTATAAAACCTCCTAATTATTTCCTTAATTTTTGAGTATTTATTTTTCATTATTTTTGCTGTAGGAACTGTGCTCTAAAACTTTCTTTAGGTTCTTCGGTACTATGAAAGTATATGCTCAATCTTTTTAAATGTACTACTGATTACATTTTTCAAAATCATTCTTTAACATTTATTTCTTAAATTGACAGGAGTAAAAAGATATCTTTTAAATCCTCATATTTAAGGAACATAATTAAGTGTACTTTATTAAGCCATGTGTTTAATTAATCTCCTAAAAAGAATCCAGAATTTTTTTAAAATTTATTTTTATTTATGTTTAGTAGGCTCTCCCCTACCCCAAGACCTGCCCCAACAAACCCCATTGCAGTCACTGTCCATCAGCATAGTAAGATGTTGTAGAATCACTACTTGTCTTCTCTGTGTTGCAAAGCCCTCCCCTTTCCCCCACCCGCCACATTATACATGCTAATCATAAATACCCCCTTTCTTCTTCCCCACCCTTATCCCTCCCTACCCTCCCATTCTCCCCAGTCTCTTTCCCTT